TTAAAAATATTAAGGAAACATCAAGAATGCTGTATTATCATTAACTTAGGTTGTACAAAGAGAATATCCACACTGGTAGCTTTCCAGGCCTGTTTTCTTCCTCATATTATAACACTTATAAATCAGAAAACCAATAAAGTACAGTTGGAGCACAGAGGCCACCTGACCTCCTCCAGGTACAGCTTGGAACAGTGAGAGGCGAGAGTCCAGAAACTCTCATAGCCTCATCCTCACTCAGCCTGATCCAAAGCCCTCTGGATTAGTTTTGAGGCACCTTTCAAGATAACCAGAGGAAGCCAGTGTGGTGGTTGGAAAGAAAATGGCCCCCAAAGAGAGTGGCATTATTAGGAGTTGTGGCTTTGTTGGAGTGGGTAAGGCCTTGTTGAAGGAAGTGTGTCAGTGGGGGTGGGCTTGGAAGTGTCATATATGCTCAAGCCACGCCCAGTGTCTCAGACCACTTCCTATTACCTGCGCAAGATGTAGAACTCTCAGCTACCTCTCCAGCACCATGTCTACTCTAACACTGCCATGTCCCACCATGATGGTGATGGACTGAACCTCTTAACTGTAAGCCACCCCAATTAAGTGTTTTCCTTATAGGAGTTGCTATGGTGTCTCTTCATAGCAATAGAAGCCCTAACCAAGACACCAAGTATCCTGATTTGCTTTCTGTTGCTGTGATAAACACCATGATCAAATCAGTTCAGAAGAGGAAAGGTCTATTTGGTTACAATTCAAGTTAACAGTCAATCTTGAAGAAAGTCAGCCGGGAAGTCCAGGCATGAACCTGGAGGCAGAGGGTGAAACAGAGGCCATGGAGGAACACTGCTCATCAGTTTGTCCCGTAGCTGCTCAAATGCCTTCTTATACAGTCCCACTGAGGATGATGCTGCCCACAGTGGGCTGGGCCCCTCCATACCAATCATCATTTAAAACAGTTCCTTACAATATGTGTGATCCAGCGTTCTGGAGGCTGAGGCAGGAGGACTGTTGTAACTCAAGGTCAGCTTGCATACACAGTGAAGTCTAGGCTAGCCTAGGTCAAGGGTTAAACTTTGTCTTAAAAGAAAAAAAAAAGATAGTCAGAAATTACTGAGACCATACCTAAGATTAATTGTACAATTCCGCTTATTTTCTTAAAATAAGCTACAAATATTTATGGCAAATATTGAAACATTATCATGGGCTTTATCCTAAAATACAAACCTGAAAATTAGAAAACAAATTTGGTTTGGATTCACAAAATGTCCATTATATTTGAAATATATATATATATATATTTCCATGTATGGCCAGAGTTTGACACCAGGGTATCTTCCTCAACAACATGTTACCTTGTTTTGTGAGACAGAGTCTCTCACTGAGCCAGGAGCTCACCATTTCAGCCAGAATGGCCACGGCCAGCCAGGGCCCCACCTGTCCCTGACCTCCGGGCTTTATCATCTCAGCTTTTATGTAGATGCTGGGGACTGAACACAGGCCCTCCCTCTACCCACCTAGTCATCTTCCCAGCTCCAATGCAAACTTTTAAAACAGAATTTTCCTGATGAAACCACATAACAAACTACAGATCTGCTTTTCACTTCTGACTCTCACTGCTGCTGTTTGTATCTGGAGTGGTCCCCAAGGCCTGTGTGTCGAGATCCTCAGTCCACGTGCTACTGTGAAGTGATAGAGCCTCCAAGAGATAGGGTCCTATGGGCAGTATCCGAAGGCATACCCTTCTTGAAACAGGAGTATGGATCTTATTGTTTCTTTTACTTTTTCCTCCCTATACAACAAGTGGTTCTCAACCTGTGGGTTTTGACCCCTCTGGGGGTCCAAGATCCCTTTCACAGGGGTCACCAAAGACCATCCTGCACATCATATGAATCTACATTATGATTCATAACAGTAGCAAGATTACAGTTATGAAGTAGCAGCGAAAATAATTTTATGGTTGGGGGTCACCGCAACATGAGGAAGTGTATCAAAGGGTCTCAGCATTAGGAAGGTTGAGAACCACCGCTCTACAAGGTGAACAGTTTGACTCTCCCTTCAGGGGTTCACTTGTTTCATTAATACTTTGCTTCTGCTAATACTTTGGTATTGAAAAGCATTTTTCTTGAGCTTGGGGTGTCCCTCAGAGGTAGAATACATGATTCAAATATGGTGAGGCCCTGGATCCAATCCAAAGGGAGAAGGGGGGACACACTGTGGAGACTTTCCATCAGCAACCTTCTTTGGTTTCTTTCAACTGTTCACTGAAGTGGCTCATCAAAGGTCCTTCATCCTATAAAGTTCATCGTTGCTCATTTTTGTCACTGTCTTCGCATTCATATATATATTTAATTCCGGATCCTTTGGAAGACTAATGCTGACCTGTAAGTGATCATGCTAGAGTTTATGGCACATTTCTAGATGTTTACAAAGTTGACGAATCCACTGGAGACGAAGCAGCGAACACCAGATGCCACTATTCTGCACAGTGCTCACTAATCTTCCAAGCGGCCAGTTCGCTGCTGGGTTTGTACATGTTCCCATGACTTTGAGTCTTTGTGTAACCAGGCAATGTCAGAAAGGGTATCACATACTCGGGTGAGGAGGACTCCTGCCCCTCACTCCCCTGTCCTTCAGACGATCTACCCACAGGACTCTCGTCTCCCAACAGCTCCCTTCTAGAAGCTTCTGTACCTTCTTGCCCCATTTCCTCATCCTAAAACACCAGAAACTGACCTCATACATGTGAAGTGTACACACATCTTCAGAGGTCCCTTGAGTCTGTCTCAAATTTAACACATTAAACATCTCAGGACATTGAAGGTTTATAATTTTGGTTAGAACTGTAGTTCCAGGTCAAATATGTGTTTTTAAGAGCAAATAACACGGTTCTTAATAAACTTTTTAAATCACATGGTAAGATCTTTTTTATGAGTGTCAACAGCAACAGAATGATCCATGTTAGAACCTTTTACTTTTTAGTGAGATACAAACAAGGCCATTAGTCCATAAATTAAGAAGAGAAAATACTTCTGCATATTTATGCTCAAGCAGTTTTCTATTTATGCATGGTTAACACTGATTTATTTTATTTTATTTTTTAAAAATCCTACAAATGAAATAGTTTCAGGCATGAAAACTCCAAACCATTACTAGAAAATGAATTGAGCAGTATTTTTCACTTGAGAACTCCAAACTGTGACTTTGTAATAAACAGTCATCTACAAAGACTTGAGTTTTCTGATAGCTTATTCTGGGAATGTGTATAAAATAAACAACTTATCTTTCTCTTGGCTCTTTTAAAGAAGTTTTTTTTTTTTTTAACCAAGTTGAGGGTGTAAGTTTCAGAATATAACGTACGCTGCCAAGTTCTGTAATTCCTTTTACAAAAATGTCATGCAGGGTGTGGTCCATTTAGGGAATTTTTTTAAGTTTTAATTCCTGGTGAGGTTCCCCCCCCCCCCCTTGCTTTTTAAAAAACAATGCTAAGTCAGGGAGGGGCTAGAGAGATGGTTCAGCAATTAAGAGTCCCAGCAACTCTTCCTTCCAGAGGCCCGGGGTTCAATTCCCAGCACCTACATGGTGGCTCACAACTGTCTGTAACTCCAGATCCAGGGGATCTGGTGCCCTTTTCTAGCCTCTGAACACTGCACACATGTGGTGCACAGATATACATGCAGGCAAAACACCCAGACACATAAAATAGATATCTTAAAATTATTTAAAATGCTAATACAATCTAAACTCTGAAGAGGGCTTCCAATTTTTAGACTATGGCATGCAGTCAGTCTGCTTGCTGGAGTGTTAAGTTCTTAACATTACAAACTCATTACTAGAAATCTAGTCCTTTAAAAATATTTATTTGTTGCCGGGCGGTGGTGGCGCACGCCTTTAATTCCAGCACTCGGGAGGCAGAGACAGGCGGATCTCTGTGAGTTCGAGGCCAGCCTGGGCTATCAAGTGAGTCCCAGGAAAGGCGCAAAGCTACACAGAGAAACCCTGTCTCGAAAAACCAAAAAAAAAATATATATATATATATATTTATTTGTGCCTGTGTGTGCGTGTGTGTGTGCGTGTGTGTGTGCGTGTGTGTGTGTGTGTGTGTGTGCGCGCGCGCGCGCGCGTGCGTGCGCGCGCACCCACAGAGGCCAGAAGAGGGCATTAAATGCCAGGGAGCTGAAATTACAGGTAATTGTGAGCTGCCGAACATGGATGCTGGGAACCGAACTTGAGTCCTCTGAAAGAGCAGCAAACAGCACTCTTAACCTCTGAGCGACACTCCTTCAGCCCCAGAGCTGGAGTCTCGAGAAGTACTGCCTGGATTTTTTTTTTTTTTTCATACGAAGGTGAAAATAGTTTAAAAGGAACAACACTTACAAAGCCTCAAAGTTAAGTTGTATCTCCCATGAGTGTCGAGTCCATTCTACTCTTGTCGGTCTTTTATGACTTTTTGGTGATGTGCTACCATAAAGGGATGAACTTTTTCTCTCATTAAATAAAGCCTCGACGCCACAAGGCTAGAACTGTTCTCGGCTGAAGTGCGTCGATCTTTTAATTCATCAATAAAGTTTCCTTTTCCAGCCGTTGGGATAACTCTTCAAGTAACAGAGATGCCCACAGAGAAACACCGGTTCCAGAACCTGACGTGGGCAGCGAGATGAGAGGATCTGACATTTAATGACAATTCACTCACAAATCGCTTGCTTGGAAACGCATGTTGGAATCTGCCCACAAAACTCTTCTCTCTAGCCATTGTTACACTCCCGTGATCACAGGCTCTAGCGTGTGTGTGTGTGTGTGTGTGTGTGTGTGTGTGTGTGTGTGTGTGTGTGTGTGTGAATTTAAAGCGAGAATGAGGGCTGGAGGTCCACTATGGAAGGATCTCTTTACTTGTCCCTTGGGGCTGCAGTTCCAAGAAGACAAAGGAGGAGCTGGGGGTTCCCCAGCAGGCCCGCTGCGTTTTACTTAAAAGCAAGCTGGGGGCAACCCCCCACCCCCACTCCCACCCCCACCCCCGCCCCCGAGGCTGGCCCTGGGTACCGCTGGCGGGGCTCCCTTCCCCCGCGGCCGCCCCGGGGGACAGGCCCGGGCCCCTCCCGCCGGAGAACAAACGGGACATTCAGCCGCCGCCCGCGGCTGCCAGGGCGCGTCCCCCGGGGAAATTAGGCGTGGAGTCGGCCGCCCGCGATCGCCTTCAAAAGCCGCCCTCCCGCCGGCCGCGGCGCACTTGGTACCTGGCTGCGGGCGCCAAGCGGGATGCCGCAGTGAGCTGCCGGCCATGGGGGGCGCGAGCGCCTGCATCCCGCTCTGCCGCCTGCTGCTGCTGCTGGCCGCCGCGCAGCTGGCCCGGTCGCAGACCCCAGAGAGGTAACGCCCGCCCGGCCTTTCCCCCGCACCCCTGACCCCGCACCTCGCCACCCCTCCGCGGGCTGCCCTGCTCCCCCGAACTTTGGAGCTGCGGCCCCCCCAGGGCTACCACGTGGCGCGGCTGGCTCTCCCTTGCCTCGCCTCCCCGCGGGTTTGTGTGCCGGTGCAGGCTACACAAGCGCTCGAATGTGCTCTTTTCTTCCCAGCCTTGGCCAATCTAAGGCGAACCCCAGTGAGCCGCTCTTCTGAGTCTCCACTCACATTCGAGTGCCAGGGCAGACGCACCTACGGGATGGCTAACTCCCACATCACCTCCAGCCACCTCTGTCCCCCATTTTTCCCTGGGCGCGGGGAGGGGTGCGCTGAGAAACCCAAGTTGTCCGAAAAGGGGAGAAAACAAGGCCTGTCTCCAAATCTGGGGATCTACAAACTTGGTATTTACCATGGCTTTTAAACCATGCGGCTCTCCCAGAGTGGCCCTCATCACCTCTCCCACTCTCTCCAGATAAGTCATTCATTTATACAAGACTCTGAGTGGGGTATTTTACTAAATATGCACGTATATGACCTATCTTAAGTTAATGATGAACGTGGGCAAGTTGTCGGGCTATGATTTAAATATTCTAAGAGCTGGCAAGATTTCAGAATTTTTTTTTTAATCTGGTACAAGATTTTGTTAAACAGTATTAACTCGTTCATATCAGCACGTACACCTTCTTGAAATTCCCATTAGATTGCTCGACCATGTTTCAATTTAAAGTATTCTCCTCTTTTATTTTCCCAGACCTGCGTTCACATGTGGCGGCGTTCTTACCGGAGAGTCTGGATTTATTGGCAGTGAAGGTTTTCCTGGAATGTACCCTCCAAATAGCAAATGTACTTGGAAAATCACAGTAAGCATTTATTTTAAAGGTGTTCTTCTGGACTTGGGTATGGAAAGAGTGCACATTGATGCCCTTACCCCCTGGTGTCCCGGTTTGCGTTAGTGGCAGATGCCTGAGAATGTGAAATGTTGGATTTGCTTCATTTGGGAGGTTTTTTATTAAGAGAGCCGGTGGTGTCCTGCAATAGTGATTAGAAAAGGCTCAAGATGATGGTGGAGGGAAGAAACCCTTCAAGCAGATGTTTCTGAAAACTCGGACCTGAATTGGTTGAGTTTTATGGATTCATGATTAAGGCTGTTTCCAGTCAGAGGTCTGTGCTGAGGACCTTTGAAAGTGAGATGCTGTTCGAGCCTGCGTAAATCCCCCATGGGAAATAAAAGATCAAAGTAGTTTTGACCACTTTATACTCAGGAGGAGAGGAACAACAGTCACCACCCTGGCCGCCATTTATTGTGCTTTCTTAGGAGCCACCTCTAAAGGCATCTAAGAATGGAGGATGCTAATGAGGGCTTAATAAAAACGCCACGGTGGTCATTGCTGTGTAAGCCCGAGTCAAGGCAAGAAACCAGATAGAGACACAACTAATGTAAATACAAGTCTGGATTTAGAGTCAGCTGGCTGAGTCACAGTTCCAGTCATTGCTGCTGTAACGATAGCTGTCTTCATTTAGTTGCTGTTCATGGGAAGTTATCTGGTCATCCAAAAAGTCCGTGTCGTCAGGTTGTAACCCCCACCAGTTAGGATTTGTTGTATTATGTATTTTATGTTCCTGTAGGTTGCACCAGGGCCTCATGCATGCTAGACAAGTATTCTACCACTGAACTGCATACCCAGCCCCAGACCATGTTTTAAGTACTTAAATGTGCCAAGGAATTAACAAGCGTCTCACTGAATCCAGAATCATTTGATCATTATGTCCCCTATTTTATAGATGGGAAAGCAGAGGCCTAACAGAATTAGATAGAGACATTGATTTGATAAGCCCGACTTGACCTTTTGTGTAGTGACATTTGACAGGCAGACTTGGGAGGAGGACCCCTCCGTAATATAAAATTTGGCTTTTTTGTGTGTGTGTGCATGGCTGTGCTCTTGCAAAATTTCAGTGAGTGAGTACAGACTTCATTGTGTTGTTACAGCACATGGAGCTAGGAAAGAAGTTCCAGAAACAGCTTTGAAATACTGATATTAATAAATGTGAAATAAGGCTGGGAAACAAATGTAAAATGGCTTTGTTTTATATTGTAGTTGTGTTTTAATTATGACTCAGTGGTTTCAAGTTCAAAGTGATCCAAGAAGAATCGTGTGCCTAACAAGTCAAAATTCGTGGTTGGTTGTGTATTTGGGGGATATACCAGTCATGTTGCTGCTGTACCATCAGACTTTAATGAGGGAGGGGTGTGTCCAGGGAGGATGTTTCCGGATCAGGGAGGGCTTGGCTTCGCGTCAGATGAGGTACAGTTGCCACAAAAAAAAAAGGCCTAAGGGTGGGTGTGGTGGGTGTGGAGTGTTAAGGGGTGGGGTGGAGAAGAGGTTTAATTGCCTTAAGAACAACTCAAGGAGGTCAGTGTGGCTGGGACAGAAGGAACAAAGAACATAGTCTGGAGAGAAGTGAGGAAATAGAAACCAGAGGCTCATGAGTCTGAAGGCAACCTGTAAGTCTGAGTAGGGAGTCTTGGACTTCAAAAGGTGTGTGCGTTGGGCGAGCAGAGTGTGTGTGCATTGGGTGAGCAGAGTGTGTGTGTGTGGTGGGGAGGTGTGGGGATGCTGTGATGTATCCAGGAGAGGACGGAGTGAGAAGGCCAGTAACAACGAAGATGAAGAAACGTGGCATCTTCTGCCTTCAGGTGTTTCACAGGCAGACGTGCATGCAGCCAGGGTGTAGTGGCATCAGCTGAGAGGCCCATGTGCCAGCTTGTCCCCTTTGTGACTCCTGTCCTAGACAGGGGTGACCTCTGCTGGGGCTTTACCCAAGGCAGTCTAGAAAGACTTTCTCAAAGCCAGTTATATCAGACAGGATTCTCTAGAGGAACAGAACCAGTTGTGTGTGTGTGTGTGTGTGTGTGTGTGTGTGTGTGTGTGTGTGTGTGTCTGTGTGTGTGTCTGTGTGTGTGTGTGTGTCTGTGTGTCTGTGTGTCTGTGTGTCTGTGTGTGTCTATGTCCGTCTGTGTGCTAAAAGGGGATCTATTAGACTGGTTTGTGTCATGGGGTTTGGTGAGTCCACCAGTGCTTGTCAACACAATGGAGGGGAAAAATAAAACTAACCAACACTAACTGCTCAGTCAACTAAACCGGACACCTCTCTGTCCCAATCTGGCACTGAAAGCTCCCCGGAGAGCAGCTGGTGTGGAGTCCATGCTGGGAAGCTGAGGACGTTAGGGTGTGATGTCAGTGTAGCAGGACAGACACACTGGGCCCACAGGAAGGGAAGGCAGGATCATGCATAGTGCTGTTTCCTTAAACCTCTTTACATCTGGAGTGCCTGGGAGAGGGGACCATCCTCAGTCAATCCTCTCAGAAAAACAAACTAACAACAACCCTCCTCTCACAAGAAACTCAAAGAACCTAAAACCTCATTGACACACCCAGAGGTGTGTCTTCTCTGTGACTCTAAGTTCCATCAGGTGGACAATCAAGATCGACTGTCACATCAACTGATCCATCTTTTCTGCTCCACTGGAACTCAATATTACACCGTATTATATATTACATTTTATTATGTTAATGGTCATATATGTGTATGTGGGTGTACATGTACATGTGTGCAAGTTGAAGCCAGAGGTTGACCTGTAGTGCTTTCGTCTCCACCTTATTTTGTGAGACAATGTCTCTCACTGAACCCTTATCCCACCCATTGGATAGACTGGCTGGCAAGCCACAGGGATTATCCTCTTTCTGCCCCAGGGATTATCCTCTCTCTGCCTCCCAGCTACTGTCATCCTCCACCAACATCAGACTTCACAGTCCCCTCCCATCCCAACCTTTCCAACTGAAGATGTGCACACACGGCAAGGTGGATGTCACCACCAGATGGCTATCACGGAACTGTTTGATCAGTGAGAAAATGAAAGAAACCTGATGCGTGTTTTAAAGTTTGTCACAACCAAATGTTATGGAAGTGTAGCTTGCATATTGGAAATTTGTATTTCTCCTTGTTGGAATTTGTTTTTTTGTTGCTATGATAAAGCACTGACCAAAACCGATCTGAAGAGAAAAGGGTTGATTTCATCTTATACTTTCCGGTCCATCGTTGAGGAACTCAAGCAGAAATCTGGATGCAGGAAAATAAACAGAGATCATGGAGCAATGCTGCTTATGGACTTGCTTCCCCTAGCTTGCTCAGCTATTTTTCTTATATAGTCCAGTCCTTGCCTAGGGATGGCACCACCCCTAGTGGACTAGGACCCCCTACCTCAATTAGCAGTGAAGAAAATGCCCCAGGGATATGCCTAGGCCCATCAGTTGGAAGCAGTTTCTCAGTTGAGGTGCCTTCCTAGTTGGCTCTAGGTCGTGTCTACTTGGCAAAAACTAACCAGCACGGGCCTGATAGAACTCACTTCCATGAGAGATGGGGATTGAACTCAGGGTTCTCAACAAGGAAAGCCCTTACCGAACAACTGAGCGACATTCCCAGCTCTATTCTAGTATTTTAAATTTTATAGCAACTTCTTGGATGACAGCACTGTTGAGCACACTGTCTACATGGATTATTTAAATGAAGTACGTTTCATCTCCTTAATCACAGTAGCCACTCTTAAGTGCTCAATAGCTCGTTCCCTCTCCTCTCTCCTCTCCCTTCTCCCTTCCTCCTCCTCTCTCTCTCTCTCTCTCTCTCTCTCTCTCTCTCTCTCTCTCTCTCTCTCTCTTTCTCTGTGTGGGTGTGACTGCATGTGTATAAATATTTCCATCATTATAAAATGTCCCTTTGGACAGTTCTAGAGAATTTTAGGGATTAATTTTACTTGTGTAGAGACGTATTGAGAATGCTCCAGACACCTTAGTGTACTTCTGCTCTGTCAATGGGGAAGCTGATATTAGTCCTCCATAGTTGATGACTCAGCCCTATCATTCCGGCCATCAACTTGTGGTGGCCTTAGGTGACAAGGTTTTTTTTTTTTTTTTTTTTGGTTTTTCGAGACAGGGTTTCTCTGTGTAGCTTTGCGCCTTTCCTGGAACTCACTTGGTAGTCCAGGCTGGCCTCGAACTCACAGAGATCCACCTGGCTCTGCCTCCCGAGTGCTGGGATTAAAGGCGTGCGCCACCACCGCCCGGCAGGTGACAAGGTTTTAGTAATTAGTTTGGCTGAGTGTGTTCTTAAAAAAAAAAAAAAAATGCATGGCTAGACATTAAGTCAGAGGATTTGAGGGTTATGAAATAGTTCGGTATTATGTAATCCATAATGAGAATGGGTGTTTCTTAACTTCCTGTAGATGTTAATTCTACAGAAAGTTAACCACATGGCCATCTGCATTAGATGCCATTCCTCGCCTCTGTAGTAAGGGGCAAGAATTGAGCGTGATTCCACAACTAAGTCCTTGGAAAAGTGAAAATCAATCTTGTAAGCAGGTTTGAAATAAAAGATCGGGGTGAGGCTGATGTCACCCCGAGTGATGGAAGCATGCAAACCATGCGCCAAGCCCTGCAGCAAGAGATGAAACTCCAGATCTTGGCACACTACCGCCACACTTGGTTACAGTACTCCTTGGCAACAACGGGCAGGGGATGATGGGAGGTATCTGAGGTCCTCTGAGGAAGCGGGAAGAAGGGAGCAGTGAACCCCTGTCAGCTAAGGTAGAACTCAGTGGTCATCAGAACACTGGCCAGAAGCCTTTACAGCAACCCCCCAGGCAAGCCTAGGTGTTGTCAGAAGTGGTGTGAGCCTGTGGAGATGACTGTGAGGTGTGGGGCTAGTGAGATGAAGCCCCCCAGACTCCCTGAAGGTCTAGCTCTTCAGAGCCCCTGGCATCCAGATCACCATCCCGTTAATGGTTTCTGGATAAATTCAGCACAAA